AAAAAAAAAAACAAACCCAAAACAACAAACCAAAAAAAACTTCTTAAATTCCACACATGGTGAAAAGTAACTGCTGACTTCCAGACCTCTCACCAACACATTCATTCAGACCCCACCCTCTTCCTCCTGCCCCAAGAGGCGATCCCAACGGGGCGTGCTGATTTCCCTTCCAAACTAGGATATATATATACAGGGAGTTTCACCCACACCTACTCATTTACACGTACCTTCAGACCTTTTCTCTTTACTGATTGAAGAACTCTGCGATTCGGAGGATGTTTCTTATGGATTCGGTTTAAGAAATCCACTTTGACAACATGCTGAGATATGGTGTCCTGGAACCGGTCAAATACTCGGCACCGATTACTCAGGGTCAAGTTCTTCTGGTTCAGCTGGGTGATCAGATAATGCCACAGGAGTTAGGGATCTGCGGGTCACTTTAATGTACCCTAAGACTTTCATAACGCCTCGTAGCGCTGGCAGTACAGCATCAGCTCAGCTTTAGACTATTTGTTTCCTGCAGCACTAACCATTTCTGTTAAAAGGCACATGGCTGGAGATGAATACAAAAGCATTTAGAGGCCTGCTAAGCAGCATCAATGCTCTCAGAAGCAGTTTCTTTGGGCACAAGCCCTTTGTTTCAGCCCCCTGTTTCCTGAGTATTTAGTCTCAAGTACGCTGCTTTTCCACAAATGAAAACTCCCTCTCGGAACGAAAGTTTTTTGGGTTAAGCATGCAAAGAATTACTTCCCCTACTTGTAGCACTGTGCTGCTTTGTATCACGGTTCTGGAAGCTCATCTAGATCTTAAAGAGTCCAGTCTGAAAACTAGACAAGCTGTCAGTGAGCCACACTCTGAGCTCTCAGCTTCAGTTACAGGAAGGAGTTTCCCCATCTTTATATTTTATTGCAGATAGCAGCAGCATATTCCTTTGGAGAGTGCGTGGCTTGCAGCAGGAGCTTTACAAGCGTTACAGGGAGCAGTAAGAGCTCAGAAGCTGTTTTACACTTGTTGTACTTTGTCCTTTAATGGACCTGCCAGGTTCCACTCCAGCATCCGGTTACCATACTGCAATCATAGTCCTGCTTACCACCACGTGTTCTATGTGATTTGGGCACATCCATCTACCCAGAGGCATGGCAGTAAGCGGTGGCTCCAGACAATCCATGTGGAACAGGAGCGGGCAATAATCACACTGAATCAGAGGTGCCACTCTGCAACTCCTGCAAAGAGAGAGCTGTCTCTTACTTCACATACAGAATACAGAGAATAAACCCAAGACGCAGACAAACTCAGCGAACCACTTTAGCTTTAACCACCAACTCCCCTACACTGTGTTACTTGCATCTAAAATTAGGCTTCAGATTTGTAACTTGACCTATACGGACCTTCTGCAAGACCCACTCGAGGCAAAAGGACTTGCCCATGCACACGAGGGTTTCTTGGTGCAAAAGAGATCCTTCGGCAGGAAGAGATGCCCTTGCTGGAAAGCTGTAAGCACCTGTCAGATTCACATAAGCAACTTTCCAAGTCGACCTTGTGCGTTAGTTCCGAGTGGCTTCGTTTACAGCAAAATTCAGAGATCAGAAGGAAACCTCAGACTTAGGTTATTACAATTTTCCTCAGATGAATCGTGTGTGAGTCGGGACGTGTACTTCAACAAGATGTTCTCAGAGCAAAGTCTCAAACTCCAGAAAGCTACTACATCTGATTCCCCAGGCTTTTAAGTCATCAGCTGTTCTCCACAAAAGCCAACCTGAGTCTCCAGCCCACTTCCACAGCCTCACTCTGACTGGGTTCCTGGAATCAAGTTTTTTGTTTCCACTGACGTTTTGAAATGGGATTTATCTGTGCATTTTGGGTTTTTACGCAGTTATAAAAACCAGCAGTATTTTATACTGGTTTTCAGATTTACTATTTCAGCACAATATTCTTAGCTGCCTTGGACTTAAATGTCTCTCAGTAGATTTCTATTTCCTAAAGGTCACCTCCTCGCATACTTCCTTCACAAACCGTAAACAATTTTCTCCATTTTCTAAACCACCACCTCTTTAGAGTTTTTCTTAGTAGTAACATACTGAAGACGAGATGGCTCAACTCTCTTTGGGCTTCGCTTTAAACCCCTTTACAGCCATGCAGGGCTGCAGAAGCCACACCTACACCTGCCACGGTTAAACAACCGTTATTTAGCAAAGATGATTATTTCTCCGTTCGTTTAGAGGATTGTAAGCAAGTAATGAAAGAGAATGGGAAAGGGAACAGGTCATCTACTTTTTTCAGCAAAAACTTTGCTCCTGTGAAGGGTGCAGCTACACCAAACAGCTTCCCTGGAAAAGTCACGTACCTGTTGCATGTGAAGCAGACTTTCACCGGCAAGGGAACCAAACCATTGTGGTCTAACTCGTGTTGTGCTTTCTTGACATTCTTTCCTGTGGTTTCTTCCTTTCTCCTCCTCTTACTAGTACCTGAAAGTAAATTTTAAAAGGCTTTGGGTTACCCACATAGCGGAGATTTGCATTTTGGTAGATACACATCATTGTCTCAGGCAGAGGGACACAGAAAAGGCAAAAAGAGCTGCTTTAAGGAACCCTTATCAAGCACTAAATTTAGTGTTAAGTGACAGAGACTGTCTGTTTTACAGGCGTATTTTATAATTAATCATTTCAAATCCTATACACAAAGTCACTACTTTGTTACCAGATTATCATATCATAAATCAAAATAAAAGTATTTTGACAATTGGATTCTTTTTCCTTCAGATTGACCATCTACACTAAGGTGACAACAGCAAGCTCTATCACAAGTGCAGATGGAAATGCAGTGTGTAGCAGCAGTGTCCCCACAGCTCACATCTGAAAGAGGCCACCTGCTGTTTGGACAGCTGGAGGAGGACCAGGGGTACTTCTGTACCCTCTGCTTTCACCTCTGAGTATCACTGGAACCGCAACTGCCGAAGAGCCAAAAGGGAAGAGGGGCAAGATGGCAGCAGGATGCAGCTGCGGACATCTCCACCAACACTAGACAAGCCATCGCTCACCTGGAAGTGCTGTGGTGCAGGTCAGTTCATTCGGCAACTGGAACTGCGTTGGGTTCCTTTCCATGGCAGCAGCAATAAGAAGCTCAAAGGGTCGCTTCAGCTGGGGCTGCCCACAGTCCATTTCTGCAATGGCAGAGTCATCATCCACGTCAATTATGTCCTCATCGACATCATTCTGCTCTGAGTTGGGGGTCTCGGTGCTGGCATTGGATGTGGGAGTGCCAGGCCGGCTTGCTCTCCTTTCCAAGATCCTGGCATGCGCATTAGCCCTGATGCTGCTGCTAGACCTGTCCAACAGGTCTGCGTCACTGGTGGGGGAGGTGGTCCTTTTCCCAGATTTGTCCACCAATCCATTTACCTGCCCCAGCTCTTTCTTCTGTTCTCGCTTCTGCACGACATGAATAGGCAGGCTTATCATGGAGGCCACAAACAAAGCACATCAACCTTGACAAATATGCAATCGAAGACAAACACCATCTGAAAAGGCTTGAGCCACTTACTACAACTTCCCCTGTGAAGTCATTAAAGACTTGACCTAGCAAAAACAATTTGGTTGCAGCTAATGTACAGACGACAAAAGAGCTGAAGGGAACCAAGCATGGGGTAGAAAATTAGCATGTCTCTTTCCTTTCAGGACAGCCATACTGGAGCCCAGATCAGTACAGCGTTTCACAGCACCTAGCCCTAAATACCTGACAGATCAGACAACTCTGTTTACTTTGCCAGCCAACACTGAGAAACCCCACGCTAGACCGTTCGGTGTCAGTGCCGTCTCCTAACCCTGGCAGTGCATCCAAACCCATTACAGTACAACAAGGTCAGCTTGGGAACACAAGCACAATATACAAACACCACTCTGCTATCTCTCGACGACAGGTCTTGAGCAAGGTGAGCAGGGAGAACTGCAGCAGAGGAAAACAACACACTGGAATCACCACAAGATCCATTTTGCAACAGGAGGGGACGCTGCGTGGCCTAGTACGGGCAACTGTTCACTGCTCCAGTGCCTGACAGCATCACCAATATGGATCAACCAACCTACTCGATCCCTAAAACAGTCTGTAAAAGGAGCAAAGTGTTATCAGGCAATTTTTAACACAAAAAAGTTGGGGTTTGGTTTTTTTGTTTTTCCCTCTCCTTTTTATTTAATTATTATTTTTTCAATTTGCAACCTTCATTTTTACGGTTGGCAGATGGCTGAACAGTACCCTGGAAACATAACAAGGAACAAAAGGCTGAGTACACAGTTTTCTTCCAATCTGTTTTGGGTGTCACTTCAAGGGAACAGTTGCTAGATAGTTTGGTGCAGTTCCTAAACCCTCTGCTACGCAGTCTTACGTAGTCACAGCAATAAGTTGTTTACATTGGGCAAGACAGCTTCCTGGAGAAAGAGCATCAAGGGGAAAAAAAAAAAAAAGACAAGCCACAATCTTGCCCAATCACCTCCTCCCCATCCTGTTCAACAGCCCAGGAAATCATAACTCACTGTGATTTCAACCTCTGCTGATGTGCAACTCCCGCGAAGTCACACTTCTCAAACACACACGTTAACCAGCATCGCAGCCCTGATGCCAAAGCGGCATTAACGTGACTCCTGTTTCCCCTGCAGACAGCTCACCTCTTTAAGCACGGGAGCCATTCCCTCTGTGCCTCAGCAACCCCTCCTTTCCAGAAGTGTGTGTGGGGGGGAAGGAAACCAGTGTAAAAGGCACAGCTTGACAAGAACTTATCAGGCACTTCAATTTTGGTTCCTAGTAGCGAGGTTAAAAATATCAGGATGGTCTCATCAAGACCCCTTAGTTTTCTTTAAGCCTGTTCCTAACAAAGCCCTTCACAACCACGAGTACAAAGAGCAACTCTGGTGGTATATACATACACTTTAAGGGGAGAGGAAGGTATAAAACACAGGGTTCACATTTCAAATGGGCAGTCGGAAGGGCGGGGATCATGTCTGTTGAGAGGCTTTACCTTGCGGCGCACAGTGCAGCGGTGACACATCCACTCCCCCGGCGGCAGCATTTCCTCACTGAGCGGAGGGTTGCTACAAGAGAAACACAAAGCAACGCTTTACTGTTATTTCTGGAACGCCTCTTCTCACAGACGTGCAGCCCGAGTCAGGGCAGCTCTGCAGGTTCTGCTCCCAGGCACTTCCTCCTTTTCTTTAGGGTGATGCTCCCCGGTTCCACTCCCCCATACACCCACTTAGCAAGCCACCTCTAAAGCTAGTCTTCCACGACACCCATCTCTCATCTCCACGATGCAGCATGCTCCACCGTTTCAGGGACAGTCTTAGAATTTAACAGCAAAGAGAAATGGAAGGTTCACTTGTGTGCTCCACACGTATCTCCCCCCC